CTTTGTTGGCCTATAGGAAAAAAAAAAAAAAAAAAAAAAAAGTCTCTAAAAAGAAAAGAAAAAAATATTTATAAAATAATCCCATGTACAATATGGAAAAAGTGTCCAAAACATGAAGTGTGTCACATAAATTCATTCACGAAGAACAAATTTAATAAGAGTCATGTAAAACCTCTACAATTAAAACCTATAAAATACCAGTGAGAAATTAAAGAAAATATTTTAAAAATAGAAAGTATATCCTTCCATTGGCTGAAAGTCTCAACATTATTAAGATGGAATTCTTCCTTTATTAATTTAAATCATAATCCTAGCAGGTACTTTTTTACCTTTTTTTTTTCTTCCTTTATTAATTTAAATCATAATCCTAGCTGTTACTTTTTTAGCTTTTTTTTTCCTTTAGAGATTTTTGAAATAGGGCACATGCTTTCACCAGAGAGACAGGGGGATGGCTCTGCTACAAATCCTTTCTCCTCCATTCTCCTCTTGGGATCTTGGGCATGTACGCATATGTGCCCAGCATGAGTACCAAGCCTGTGGATCCAGGAATTGAACTGTGGTCAACCATGTGGGAGTCCAGTGACGACATAACCATCATGCCGTCTGCTGGTCCCTGAGCAGGTACTTGATAGAAAGATAAAAGTGACTAGAAGATTCAAAATTTTATACAATAATACAACAGACCTAAAATAGCTCAAACAATGCTAACAGAGAAAAAATCCAATGGCTTACAGCACTTGCCTTCATGTCTCGTCGTAAAGGTAAGGTAACCTGGTGTTGGCATATAGCTACACAGGGAGACCCATGGATCAAAATACACAGTCCAGAAACAGAACCACCATTACAATCTTTTCCTTTTTTAAATAAAGATATCAAAGCAATTCTATGAAGAATATTTTCTAAAAATGATGCTACAACAACTATGTACATTCATATGCAGGCTGGAGAAAAACATACTCAAACTCTACATCTTACTGCAAACAACAAATAATTAAGTAGAGAGCATATACTGAAAATAAAATGTAAAACTAAAACTATCAAGTTTTTAAAGGAAAACATAGGGAAATATCTGTACTCTACTTCTGAGTATACATTTCCATATCCATAGACTTCTATCATACTGCTTGGCACGCTATTCTTTTTATAAGATTTATGAGGGTCTTTCTTCAGTAGAATATAAATATTTGAGGCCAGAGATTCTGACTTGTTCTATGTTTCTTTACTTTTACCAACTCCAGTCCGTGCCCTTGTCAACATGATATATACAATAAATGACTGATGACTGGAGACCCACTGGTACAGAATGGTTAAACAAGCACGATTATTTAAAAATGCGTATTTCTGGATAACAATAGCTTATTAGATAGAAGGGTTGAGAACATTAAGAATGAAGATTATATAATACATATCCTGGAATATTTTGAATAAGGCCAGAAAAAACAAGTTTGAATTCATATTTTTACAATAGTAAAAACAGAAGTAAAATTTCAAGGAAGTAATGCTCGGTTTAAATGTATGCACAACTATCAATAATGCATGAACATCGAGAATACCTCCCTTTGGAATCCAAACAAGGTTCTAATTACCACACGGAAAGCTATGCTTCCAAAAGAAAAAGGCAATTTTTATAAAATTAAATGAACAGACACTGAAAATCAAAATGATATAATCTCATTTTCATTAGACATAAGTAATGACTTTAATTCCACCCTATTAGAGAAATAACAGTTTTAGCAGGACTAACACTTTTACTGCACTCAATGAAATAACAACCAGACCTTTAAAAATAAGTAACATTCACCAGAAATATATATATTTATATAAACAACTGAGATGAATTTTATTCCAAATAAATTCATATAAAAATTTCTACTACAACTACATGTCATTTTCACCCTTCCTTTAAAAAACAAATATACTTTTATATAGATAGTTGATAAGAAAAATATTCATCAACTTTCAATTCAAGTGACAAATACAATGCAAAGACCTACAAAGGTGACACACAAGTCAGTTGACAATAATGATGATAAAAAGAGCTTCACTTACTGCTATTTCTCTACATGCCGACATTGAGATCCCGGTTCCTTCTATCTGTTTTAAAGCATAGTCTTTATCATCCTTCCTGTAAAAAGAAAGTTATTTTAATATACAAACAAACCTACACTTATGTGCATTATTTTTATAGACCATAGGTTAGTTTATTTTTAACACCCATCATGCCATGAATTCATAGGGAATAGGTTCAGAAGCTCAGGCTCCTTTCCATGGGTTCTCACAAAGTGTGCTTCTCGGGTGGAGCAGGCTGACACTTCAGTTGAACCCAGGTAACTTTCTCTTTGGCTTCCTTCTTTTTCTGATCATTTTTCCTCCAAACGTTTTAGGAAGCTAACTCTGCTCTTAGAATGCTTAATACGCTCAATATGCACATCAATTCTCTTGGCAAGAATCTTGCCCTTAACTTGTTTGTTTACAACAATGCCAACAGCAAGCTGGGTAACACTGTAGACTTCCAGTTTTTCCATGGTAACATTTGTGGGACATTCCTTTTTGAACAGTACCCATTCCCTTGATGTCTACAATATCACCTTTCTTGTAGATTCACATATATGTTATCAAAGGAACCACTCCATGTTTTCTGAAAGACCTAGAGAACAAATATCAGGTGCCTCTGGCCTAGAAAACATATATTGGGTGCCTCTCTTCTTTCCCTTCGTGTTCATCATTTTGGTTAATTACTGGAAGATGGCGGTTCTGGCCAAAAGGCATGTGCATTTTTAATAAAGTAAAATATGAATGAAAATCAATCACTCCATTTAAACACATCTGATACCTTTTACATTAAATTACATAATGCCATACAGAAAAACCTTTATAGCTAACCTAGGCCAATCCTAGTATTTAAAGAGGGAAGTTAGCCTCAAAGGAATAGACTTTTCTGAGGTTTCACGGTTACTTCTGGAAGATAATGATTCACATATAGAGCTCCTACCTCCTAGTTATAGATTCTTTCTATTCTAGTATGTGCACTTCTTCTCTGCATATATGCACGCATGAGTGTGTGTGTGTGTGTGTGTGTGTATACACAGCATGTACCCTTAAAATAGTTTGCTTTCTAAAACCTATTCAGATACCAGTGAGTCATAAAAGTTAAGAAATGAATGCCTCTTTAAAGCACAACATGATTATAATTTAAAACATGTTATATCACCATAATCTGATATGAATAACTTAGAATAACAAGTCATCTCTAAATATAATACCTTCAAAGAAATCCACTCAACATGTGTTTATCAAGTACTTACTAGGAATCCAGAACTGGGCTAGGACCTGGGACACACAGCAGGATTGCTGACTTTGCAAGCCCTCTAAAAAGATCTCAGAGATATCTAGGAATCCCAAGATCACACACAGAAGTGCTGTGTGTGTGTGTGTGTGTGTGTGTGTGTATCAGTTAAGAGGGAAATACTATGGTAAGGCATATGAGGTAAGGGAACAATAAAGCATTTGAAGGAGAATGGTTGTGGAGATGAGGCTGGTAATGAAATCAGGAACCAGAACATGAAAGTCTTTTTACTCTAAGAATAGGGAGGGCTCCTTTCAAGATGCTATTTAACAAAACAGTATCAATTATATTTTACTTGGGAAATAAATCTTTGGCTGCCTTGTGAATGCTCAGTGAGAGTAAATAAGGACAGAAGTCACAGAAAACAATGAACAGTAATTAGTATAATAATTATTCAAGGAGAGATAAGGGCATCTATGGCAGAACAGTGGTTGCTAACAGAGTGGAAAGACAGGAGGTAGAAGCAGTAGCCGCTGGTAATTGACTGCTGGGAGTAAGAATAAAGAAAAAGTCAAAGATAAGATTGTAGCCTCAGGTAATAGGTAATAACAAAATAATTCACAGAAATAACCACAGGGTTGGGGGGGGGGTGCCAGGGAGGTTGGCAAATGGCAGGGAGGTTAAAGCGCTGGACTCCCATGTGGCTGACAACAGTTCAAGTCCCAAACCTGGTGGCCTGCTTTCTCACTTTCCTCCTCTTTCTGTCTCTCTCTGGTCAAACTGGAAAATAATAATAAAAGTAAATAAATAATAATTTTTTTAAAAAAAGAAAGAATCACAGCATGAGGGAAAGATTTGGGATGATGGTTCCATTTTTGTATATAGGTTGGATTTTCAGAAACTTTTAAGTCACCCTAGTGGGCATGGCTGATGGCAAATTGAATAATCATGTCTAAAGCTCAAGAGAGAGCTGAAGACTGAAGGCTGTAATCAGCATATACATGTTAATGTAAGCAATGAGAGTAGAAACAATGAGACCAAAGAGAAAGCCTGTCAAGAAAACAATTTTCTTCATTGCAATTGAAGTCTTGGACCCAATGGCTTGAAAAATCACACCAGGTGCATATGTGTGTGTGCCTAATATCCCAAAAAGAGAATGGAGGAGAAGGGATTACAGCATGCCCATCCTCCCTGGTGGGTGGTTTCTCAGTTTCCCTCTCTCTGTCTCTGTCTCTCTCTCTGGTGGGCACACATGCCCCTCAGCAAAAAAAATATTAAAAAGAAGAAAAAGAAGAAAAAAAAAAAAAAAGGCAGAATCAGGACCAGGAGATGGCATAATGATTATATGGCTGGACTCTCCCAGTTGGGGTACCGGATCCGGCACGTTAAAACTATGTAGTCAGCAGATGGCATAATGGTTATGTCGCTGGACTCCCATGTAGTCAACCGCAGTTCAAGTCTGGGACCCGGTGGCTTAAAACTCACGCCGGGCGCGTGTGCGTGTGTGCCCAAGATCCTGAGAGGAGAATGGAGGAGAAGGGATTGTGGCGTGGCCATCCCCCTGTGGGGGGTGATTTCTCACTTTCTGTCTCTCTGTCTCTCTCTGTCTGTCTGGCGAGCACACGCGCCCTATAGCAAAAACCTCTCAAACAAAAACAAAAACAAACTCATGTGTGGCACGCATGCATGCATGCCCAAAATCCTGAGAGGAGAACAGAGAAGAAATTACAGCATGGCCATCCCCTCTGTGGGTGGGGTGGGGGTGGGGCGCGATTTCTTGTTTTCTGTCCCTCTCTGTCTCTCCTCAAGCACACATGCCATATAGCAAAACTCTCTTAAAAAAGAAAAAAAAAAAAAAGGGAGAATAATAAATAGTATAAAAACTGCAGGGAGGTCTTGTAAGTTAAAGAATAATAAGTATCTATCTGAATTTAGCAATAATGAAGTCAGCAGTGAATAACAGACCAGGCAAAAATAGCTTAAGTGATACAGTGGCAAGGTCTATATTGAGGAAGGCTAAGGAGTGAATAGGACATAGGAAAACTGAGACATAAGTAATTCTTGGAAGGGGAGAAAATGAGGAAGTGGCTGGAGTAATCACATCAAGGTTAAAGAATTTTTTTTTAAGTGGATGAAACTTGAATATGTTAAGTGCTAACAGAAAGAACCCAGAGAGAAGCTGCCAACACAGGAAAGTTTAAAATAGAAAAGACCCTGAAACCCTGGGAAGAAATGAGATTCAGGGCTAGAAGGAGAAAAAGCTCTCCCACTGTAACAGGAAGAAAGAAGATGGAAAAAAGGATGGATGACAGATGGAAAGAAGTTATTCAGAGGCAAAAGGCTGGGAGAAGTTCCCATTTTGTTGAGTTCCATGTTTTTCTGAAACTGGAGATAAGATCATATATTAACAGGAGAGAGAAAGGTGACAGGGTTGAGATTTGAGCAGAGCAAAGATCTGTTTGAAATTAATAATCTCTTGTAAAATCAATTAATTTAAATTCATTTAATAACTTATTCATTTAAATTATTAGAATTAGCCTATCAGACATTTTCATGTACAGGGTATTGATCTGACCAAGCTGTTAACTCAGAAGTATAACAATCCATCAGATCTATTGTTTGAGACAGCATGGAAGATTTAAGCCTTCCAAGGAGAGAATAGATGGAAAACAAAAATAATTATAAATGATGACTTACCCATTCACCTACTTAACACCCACCAGTTCCTCTTACTTAAAAATGACCAAGTTGTGGGGATAGCAGGTGGCACAGTGGTTAAAGCAACTGACTCCCACATGGAGGACCACGGTTCAAGTCCTAGACCTGGCAGCTTGAAAAATCACACTGGGAGTGTGTGTGTGTGTGTGTGTGTGTGTGTGTGTGTGTCCAAAATCCCAGAAGGAAAATGGAAGAAAAGGGACTATGGCATGGCTATCCCCTTGGGGTGGCGGGGGAGCGCTATTTCTCACCTTCCCTCTCCCTGTCTCTCCTTGTCTCCCTCCAGCAAGCACACATACGCTATGTCAAAAACAAAAGGTCAAATTTTATATGACAATCTCTTCTTAATAAACTAAAAAAGTTTTAATCCTCTCCCCAACCTAAGTAATGGCATGTTCTTTATTTTATAAAAGTAAATTATTGAAGAAAGTATGAGAAGAATTAAGGCAAAGTCTTCTTAAAAATCACCTATGTAATTACCATAATACAACAGTGCTTGTGGTTTACAATGCACAATTATGCATTCATTAACATACTTACGAGAAGCATCTCTTTCTTTATTTGAGAGATTTTTGCTATAAGGCACATGCTCTCACAGAAGAGAGATTCAAGAGAGACAGAAAGCGAGAAATCCCCCCCCACACACACACACCTGAGGGTTGGCCTCATCACAATCCCTTCTCCTTTCTCCTCTCAGAATTTTGGGCATACAAACACACATCCTCAGAGTGAGTTTCAAGCTGCTGGGTCCAGGATCTGAACCACGGTCTAACATGTGGGAGTCCAGCACCTTAACTACTGCACCACCTGCTAGCTCCACTCCTCCCATCTCTTAAAAGCAAATAAATGTTCATCATGGCTCCATTCTTTTCTTTCTGGCATTCTTACCCAACATACTTTTCCTCAGCTTGCTTGCTTGCTTGGATTGACTGATTGATTTAATAGATTTTTCCTTATTCAGGATTGTGTGTGTGCATACATATGAAAGTGAGAGAGAGGGCAGAAGAGGGAGGCAGAAACTTCCACGGGGGTCTAGTCATGCTGTAATCCCCTTCCTCTAGTTTTCCAGCCTGTACTATCCTGGGCACTTGTGTGCATTCCTGGCCTGTTTCAGGCTGATT